ATGCATACATGCATACCAATATAAATATTAATTGTTTATTATTAGTAGTATATGTCTGTAATATATTATATAAATATTTAGACCTTTTTTTCTAAATGTTATATTTAAATATTGAATGTTTTAAAGTGTAAAACTATTATTTATTTTTACTCTTTAATATTTATTTTTTACTTTTTAAGATTACATTAATTTGCATGACTTCCAGGCTTGTAAATCAACATTTTAAAATTCCCTAATAGATCCACTTTCTGATCTGACCAATCTCAAGGCTTCACAAACCACACAGGAGGAGCAACAAACTTCACAACTCATCAAAACAAACCAAACAAATAATGCAGCGAGTTCTTGCTCAACAACACATCTACAAAAGCTCAACAACATCCTCCCGCACTGTGCAAGTCTAGTTACCGTCTTCCCGAAACAGAACTTGAAGAGATGCATCCCGTGTGCGGAGCGTCCGAGGGCGAGGAAAGAGCGAGTTGTGTGCGTTTCCATGAGAGCTGTGATTCTTGAGGACACTCAGAAGAGCCTGACTGCACAAACTCTCAGCAGCAGATTCCTGCTCTCTCTCTCTCTCTCTCTCTGTGAATGGTTTTCCTCTCTCAGACTCCCTCACACGTCTTTTCCTCTCGGTCTGTCCTCTCTCTCTCACATCCCACGCTTTCCTTTCCTCCCACTGGTTTTACACAAACAGAAGAAGCCGCTGAGCTCGCATCTCACTCACACAACACATACTGCTTGAAAATAATAATACGCAGTATGCAAATGCTTATGCATGGAAAACCCAGACGAATGTCTGAATTTGCCAAGGATACAACTGCATGGAATACTGCATCCCACAATGCATTGCGCTCGATTTGACTTTCCATTCCCAGTGCAGTGAATGAAGCGCAAGTGATATCGGTCACATTTTTTGCTTCTTGCGTCTTACTTTCTGTTATTAAATTAGACTGCAAGACATTTTTATGCAAAACTTGATTTTAAAAAACGCAAAAGCACTAGATTTGATTTTGCCAGATTTTTTTGTTTATTACTCTAAAGCTGCTTTGAAACAATTTGTACTGTAAAAATCAAGGTTATTATAGTTAACTAAAACCATTTAAAGAAGTATTTTCATTACTTGAAATATAATAAATGTTAACGGAAATAAAAAATATATTAAAAAAAACTATTAATACAAACACTAAAAAGCTAGTTGCCAAGGCAACATTTCTAATTTTCATTTATTTTAACTTAATGTACTAAACTACAATTAAAAAAATAATTTAAAAATATACAGCAAAATTTTTAATAATAATACACTATATATATAAAAAACAAATTAAAATAAATAATTAAAAAAAAAAAAAAAATTACAAAAACTTTAACTAAAATTACAATTAAAATTTGAAATATAAAAACTACTTAGAATGTTGATTAAAAAGTATACTATGTAAATGACACTGGTAAAAAGTGCCTTTATTACTGGACTACCAAAAATAGGAAATGGCATGATACATAAACCGTTTATTAATTAAACATCTAAGTAAAAATAATTATATTTTGATGTGTACCGTTAATGTGATACGGAATTAATCATGAGATTCCAGTCATACTACCATTTTAATTAGTGCTGTCAAACGATTAATCCCGATTAATCGCATCCAAAATAAAAGTTTTTATTTACATAATATATGAGTGTGTACTGTGTATATTTATTATGCATATATAAATACAATCACATGCATGTATATATTTAAGAAAAATATGTTATGTTTATATATTAAATATATTTATATATATTATCAAATATGATAATATAAAAATATAAATGTATATACATGTAAATATTTTCCAAATATATACTGAATGTGTGTGTATTTATATATACATAACAAATACACATAAATATATTATGTGAACAAAAAACAAAAACTTATCGGCCAATGCCGATATTTGAAAAATGCCAAATATCGGCCGATATATCGGCCTTGGCGATATATCGGTCGACCACTAATTGCGATTAATCGTTTGACAGCACTAATTTTAAATAAGGTCAGTTAGTATACAGTAAATGCTGTGCAGTATGCAGTGCACTAGTGTTCACTCCAGACACTCTGATTCTTTCCTTTTGAGACAAGTATTTATTTGTTCTTAATCAGAGAATGACACAGACGGAGCAGATGCCAGTGTTCAGACGAGAGCTTTACGGCTCTCAGAACGGCACCAAACACACGGGTTTCCACCGATTCCCACAAACCCACTGCCAAACCAAACGATCGCTAATGACACGCGTCCTCAGCGGCCGCCCGACTTTCCACCGGACGCAGAGCGATATTACAGCCAAACCTCTCCTCACAACAGTCCTCAAACCCACAGCTTCAGCCTGCGGGGAACATCACTAGCGTGTCAAATCTGTAAGTGTCAATTAAACACCTCTCTCTCGGCACACAGGAAACTCTTCTCATTCCCACTGAACTGAAAATGTGACGCCTAAAATATCATCTGGAAACAGACAGCTTGAGAAACACAGGAGCAGCGTCTGGTTTCTGGTTACAGGTGCTCACAGATTTACAGCTTTGTTTTCAGGACTGAATTTGGGAGATCAGGACATCTTCACTCTGTTCCATCTCTTCCTCCGAGTAACAACAACAACAGCTGCAAACGACCAACAAGCCAAAGCCAAAGAACGTGTAGGAAGTGAGAGAGAAGAGCTGATCCTCTAGGAGTCATTTCATGAAAAATTAAATAGTAATTTTTACATTTTTAAATGCATTTATTTGTATTATTATTAATAATTAGTATATACTATAAGATTATTGTATTATTTATTTTATAAAATTATAAGTTAAATATTATTATTATTATTATTATAAACTACATAATTCCAAATGATGTAATATTTAAAAAATATATTTTTTAAATATATAATATGAATGATTTTTTTATTTATTTAAAATGTTACTTCTTTCTTTCACTCTAGAAATGTCCATGACTTTTTAAGATTATATGAATTTAATCTCCAATTGAATCTTTAATGCAGGCTTGAAAATCACTTTTCCATGTTTTCACATATAATATTACTGCTACTACTAACAATAATACCAATAAAAACATTTTAACCTTTTAATAATAACTTTTCAATATTTGTATATCTGTTATATTTTCTAAATATTTAAAAATCTTTTTTACATTTTTAAATATTATAATTAAATAACATTTGTATTATTATTTATTTATTTATTTAATACTTTATTTCTTATTTTTACTCTAGAGACTTGCATGATTCTAAGTAAATTAATCAGACTGGCTATTCCAGGCTTTAAAATCACAGTTAACATATAATAATAATAATAATAATAATGTAATATTTTGTATATCTGTAAATATTTACAATTATTTTTAAATATTTAAATATTATATAAATATTAAATGCTTTTTTTAAACATTTGGTTTTATTTTCACACTTTTTAGATTAAATTATTTGCTTGCTTCCATTCTGAGTTTAAATTCAACAAATATTTGGAACTCAAATTTGATTTTGCAAGCTCTACTCAGTGTGGTGTAAGAGGGAGACAGAGAGAAGTTGTGTCAGTACCAGGAAGCTCTCCTCCTGCTCCAGCCATCTCTGGTCCTCCTCCATCTGCTGCTGCTGCTTGATGAGCGTCTCCTCCATCCCCTGACTCCGCCCCAGAGCGCCCCCATCCTGACACACACACACACACACACACGCACGCACGCACAAATGCACGCATGCACACACGCACACACACACATACACCAGCATGAGTTAGAACCCTAACCCTAAGCGCTCACTCACACAGAGTGTCCCGTCTCCTCACTCACCTCCATGTTTGGAGACCACACAGGAACCTCGTGTCTGTGATGGTTCCATGCTTCATGCGGGTCGAGGACAGACGCCTGCGGCGGGAATCCTGCACCGGGATATCCAGACCCCTTCACAAAGGACAAGACATTTCATTTACATTTATCAATTTAGCACATGCTCTTATCCAAAGTGCCCCAGTAAAATCTGTAAGCAAGTAAATAAATAAATAAATAAGTTACATTTTTTAAAATTCAATAAACCATACTGTAGCGATCAGTATTATTTATATACTATTTTTAAATACTGTTTTTCTAAATGTTTTTATATTTTCAGTTTGCATTTTAAATTACATTTTTGGTAATTTTGTTATGCACCTTGTTTTTATTAGCTTTTATTTTTTTTATTTTAGTTTTATTTTTTTTTTAAATATTTTCAGTTAGTAATTTTAGTACTTTTAGAACCTAAACTTATTTCAATTTTTAATATAATATTTGTATTTTATTATATTTCATCTGATTATCTTTTATTTTTATATTTTCATTTGAAATTTTAGTAATTTTATTATGCACTTGGGTCATTTTTGTTAGTTTTTGTTATGTGCTTTTGCCATATTTTTTCATATATTTTAATTTTGTTTTAATTTCTTTTAATTTATAAAAAATAATTTTAATATTGCGTACAACAAACTTATGTCAGTTAGTTTTTCATCTAATACTCGTATTTTATTTGAGCTTTTTTTTCCATTTACAATTTCTATGTACATTAAACAGATTTAGTTTTATTATTAAATATTAATATTAAATACCTTTCAATACTGTACCATTGTATTTTAATTCCTTTCATGCTCACAAATGTTGCATTATGTAACTAATATGTGTTGTGAAAGCGGTTCAGTTGATTATTAAGACCCCTCTCGCTTCCTCTCGTAATGACTAATAAACACCCCGATACAAAAATAACAGGCACTTTGAGCACAAAAGCCTTTTAAGGCATGAAGACAGAGCAGCGATGTGTGTGTGTTTGAGCTGAAGGAATGTATCTGGACTCAGAGACGCTCAGCGAGACACTGAGAGATAACTCCGACTCAGAGCTGAATAATCAGTCTGCATTCACTGAACACTGAAGTACAGTTTGGCAGATGTTAGCTGAGTTTTATGTGGTATTTGGAGACTTTCTGGGTGTATGTTGTGTGATGAAGAAGAAAGTGTAACTGCACAACTCAGACTCTTTAGTTTATTTAGTTACTGAAGCAGCGTTTTACCCATCAGTCTTTCTCAATGTACAATCGCCAGCAGGTTTATGAAGAACAGGACTACTCACTTTGTAATGTTTTTAGTGCCAGAAAAACGGATAGATATCTGCTTTCTATGGCTGTGAAATAATCAGCATGTTATCAGCTAAGGACAAAAAAGAAAAAAATCACATTCCCCGTTCATTTCTACAACAACAATAATAATAATAATAATAATTATTATTATTACTACTACTAATACAATATATTTCCGATTTATTATTTTAATAAATTATTTATATTATAAAATAAAAATAAATTAATAATGCTATTGCAATATTGTAAATAACAAAACAAGTATTCACTATACTTTATACTATGTTTATACTAACCGTATAAAATAAAATAAAATATATCTATTTTTAATTATTCAATTATAAAAATTAAACCAATCAATTAAGAAATATATTACTATTGCAATAATACTATCGTACTGTAAAATAACAAAACAAGTATTCATTAACATAATAATAATGATGGTAATAATATTATTATTATTATTATTATTTATAAACCGTATAAAATAATTTTATTAATTATTATTTCAATAAAAAATAAAGCAATATTGCTATTGCAATAATACTATAATACTGTAAAATAACAAAAGTATTCACTAATATAATAATAATGATAATAATTATTATTATTGTTATTTATTAAAAATAATATTTCTATTTTATTATTATTCAAATTATAAAAATTAAACCAATCAATAAAGAAATATATTACTATTGCAATAATACTATCGTACTGTAAAATAACAAAACAAGTATTCATTAATATAATAATGATGGAAATATTATTATTATAATTATTATTTATAAACCGTATAAAATTAATATAATTAATTATAATTATTAAATTATATTATAATTATTAAATATAAAATATAACTAATTATTAAATATAAAATATATATAATTATTAAATTATACTAATTAAACCAATCAATAAAGAAATATATTACTATTGCAATAATACTAACGTACTGTAAAATAAAAAAAGTTGACACTAATATAATAATAATACATTTTACAGTAAACAGTAAAATTACAATACTAATATGTGCGACTCCTTAATTTCTTTGCTTTCAAATATTAAAACTATAGAGAAAGTGTAATACAGAGTGGAAAACTGCTGGGAGATCTTACATTTTCTCTTTTGTTGACAACAGATTTATAAACAATTCTAATTACAAATTTAAAACATGGTTGCATTGTCAAATTCAGAATTCTAGTGGGTCGTACATCAGGTCAGAAAATACAGAAATCTGCACAAATACGGAACGTTCACATTATATTGCATTAATATACATTAATCTGTCCTTCGGATGAGACGTTAAACCGAGGTCATGCCTCTCTGTGGTCATTAAAAATCCCATGGCACTTCTCGTAAAGAGTAGAGGTGTAACCTCGGTGTCCTGGCCAAATTGCCCCCCTGGCCTTTGTCAATTATAGCCTCCTAATAATCCCCAACCACTTGATTGGCTCTATGAGCTCCTCTCCACCTGTAGCTGGTGTGTGGTGAGCGCACTGGCGCTGTTGTCCTGTGGCTGCCGTCGCATCTTCCAAGTGGATGCTGCACACTGGTGGTGGTTGAGGAGAGACCCCCCCACATGATTGTAAAGCGCTTTGGGTGTACAACAATACACAATAAAGCGCTATATAAATGCATCATTCATATACATTATATATGCATTATACATTCAGAAAAGCTGAAGGCTGAGATGTTGGCTTCAATAAATAAATTAATATGCCTACAAATATGAGTTGTGCAGTTGTACTTTCTTTTTTGATGCATAAACTTGCATCTCAGCATTTCGGCGTGCATTTATATTTTCATGCATTATTTGTTGTGTGTTTGCATGAAGATGCTGATGTGTGTGTAAGTCATGCTACCTGGTAGTGATTGTGCGGAGGACTAGGGAAATAACCGTCACTGGATCGAGGACTCGGGTAACCAGGTCTGCTGGGCTGTGAGATCAAAACACACTCAGCACTTAAACCAGTAAAGACATGCACTCATCAGGGTCAGAGCTCTTTCCAAACAGATCGTCTAACACAGAAAACTCGTCACATGAATGAGTAACTGAGTGTGCAGATGCGGATGGAGATCGGACCTTCGGAGGAGCCTCGTCTGAATTCCCAGTGTCCCAGGACACGGTGACCTGTCTCCTCATCTCCATACGGAAACGCTCCTCCTGCTGGGCCTTCTCCTCGTCCAGGATAGTGCTGCAGAAACAGACAGCAAAGACCTCCAGGGAAGATGTTTTTATAGAGCATTTGACAAGTGAATGTTTGGCCCGTTTCAAATCACTTCCTGACAAAGACAGGAACATTTTTGCGGCTAGTACAGAAAATTATTTCATCACGCCATTGGAAATGCAAGTCTGTCCCCCACAAAATAACTACACGAGTTGCATTTTCTGACAGCCTTCATTTATATTTAACTGCACACAGAATTAGTAAAAACTACATCGTAATGCCTACATTTACAATGTTAACATTAATTTAATAAATGGTGCAGATGCGGATGGAGATCGGACCTTCGGAGGAGCCTCGTCTGAATTCCCAGTGTCCCAGGACACGGTGACCTGTCTCCTCATCTCCATACGGAAACGCTCCTCCTGCTGGGCCTTCTCCTCGTCCAGGATAGTGCTGCAGAAACAGACAGCAAAGACCTCCAGGGAAGATGTTTTTATAGAGCATTTGACAAGTGAATGTTTGGCCCGTTTCAAATCACTTCCTGACAAAGACAGGAACATTTTTGCGGCTAGTACAGAAAATTAACTCCAACAACACGCCATTGTATTTCATCACGCCATTGGAAATGCAAGTCTGTTCCCCACAAAATAACTACACGAGTTGCATTTTCTGACAGCCTTCATTTATATTTAACTGCACACAGAATTAGTAAAAACTACATCGTAATGCCTACATTTACAATGTTAACATTAATTTAATAAATGCATCCCTGCATCTTGAAAATCAAAAACGGCTGATTTGCAAAACTACATCGTAATGCCTACATTTACAATGTTAACATTAATTTAATAAATGCATCCCTGCATCTTGAAAATCAAAAACGGCTGATTTGCAAAAAAAAAAAAAAAAAGGCTTAAAATGACTTAATTTACTGATGAGTTAAAAAATATTTGTGACCCTGGAGCACAAAAGCAGTCTTAAGTCGCTGGGGGATATTTGTAGCAATAGCCAAAAATACATTGTATGGGTCAAAGTTATTGATTTTTCTTTTATGCCAAAAATCATTAGGATATTAAGTAAAGATCATGTTCCATGAAGACATTCTGTAAATTTCCTACTGTAAATATATCAAAACTTAATTTTTGATTAGTAATATTAGTAAAGTATTAGACAACTTTAAAGATGATTTTCTCAATATTTAGATTTTTTTGCACCCTCAGATTCCAGATTTTCAAATAGTTGTATCTCAGTCAAATATTATCCTGTCATAACAAACCATACATTCAATGGAAAGCTTATTTATTCAGCTTTCACATCATGTATACATCTCCATTTTAAAAAATGTACCCTTATGACTGGTTTTGTGGTCCAGGGTCACATATATAAAAAACATTTCAACAAATACAGTTTTCTTTTTCACAAAACAAGATTTTTCAAATGATATAAACGTATCCGCTTTAATGCACTTATCAAAACAAAAGAAGTCACATGCCGAAAGTTTTGTTTTAAAGACAAAAAGAAGTATTCAAAATATATAATTTAATTTACAAACCGCAAAAGAAGTGGTAAAAAATTTGCAATTGCTTTATTTAACGACAAAGTTTATGAATTAATACTCTTTTTTTTCACAAAATCTGTATTCAGTGATAATTAAGTTTATGTGATTAAGTGATAATACAAGACATCTGCACCTATCAAATGATTTTGTGTGAAAGTGTGACAATGCTATAGCAAAAAAGCCACTATTTTTGGAATTAGCAGCACAAAACTAGTAGAATTTCGCTCAGCAAGTGTGATGCAGGACAGTGAATGCTAAATGGTGTACTTGAGCTGTGACACAGAAAGCTAAGCAGAGACCTCTAGTGTCAGCACCAGAGAACAACAAAAGCATCCTGATTTCCTTAGAAAGTTCCATTGAAATGACTCAGAAACGAGGAGAAGCATCAGTAACACACTGACCTGAGCTGCGTCTGCAGTTCGGTGAAGCGCGGCCGTTTGCTGGGGTCGTACGTCCAGCATTTGGTCATCAGGCTGTAGAGGGTCGGAGGGCAGTTCTGGGGCATCGCTAACCTCTCGCCGTTCTCTATCCGCCCGATCACGTCGTTATTCTTCACGCCCTGGAAGGGCTTGATGCCGAACATGAGGATTTCCCACATACACACACCTGAGAGGAGACAGACCCGGATCAGAAATCTGCCTCAGTCATCACAAATGAACAAAAAGAAAGAATACAACACAACAATTATTACAGAACAATATATTTAAAAAAATGGTAGGTCATATTACATTTAAGGGGAGAGACACTGCAGGCAAAAACACTTTTTTCATGCACCTGTCAATTTTTTGATTTTGGGCTTTTTGGCTTTTCATAAAGTGTTTTTTCAGACTAGTGGAAAGAAAACATCCAAAATACATGTGTCAATAGATTTCAATTACAATACATATTTTTAAAGGCCGTTTTCTCGAAATGAGAAAATGTTTTTCTCCAACACTGCGCCATAAATCTCCACTTACACACACACACCAAACTTTACATTCTTATTCCTGTCTATATCCTGAAGGTTTTTGAAAATAGATTGTTTTCTGGCTGTTCAAAGAATTTTCTGAATTATGGAGTGACAAAAAGAGATACCCAGAATTCCCTCTGTAATAACATTTGACTCAAATATGTAAACAAAAAATTAAACAAGAATTTTTGAAACTAACTTCATCCAGTGTTCAGATTTTTGTACTGAAAATGTAAGCAAATTAGCGCATATTTCATTAAATAATGCTTCATTTGCATATTTAAACATAACATTTTAGAAAACTTGTAATATAATTTTTTTTTTGCAATTATCAATATAATCAATCAACTGGATAAGTAAGGTGAGGACTATTAGTTAATTTCTTTACCCTATTCACCTGCAGTGTCTCGCCTTAAAATACTGTATATTTAGGTCCATAGAAATATATATATATATTGCACACAAATTTGCAATATTTTGGTCAACATTGCTTAAGTCTGAGGAAGGTCGCTTGACCAAATCATTGAGAATTTTTTTAATTTGATTTCATTCATTTATTTTAGTGATCATGCAAGCTAAAGTTCTGTGCAGGATTAATATAATAATAATAAAAAAACACGAACTTCTGCGGAGAGTAATGTTCGCGCCGGCTGTTGTAACTGATCAGCGCCGCGCTGTCAGTTCGGTGGTGCTAGTAAACACGTCCTCTCTGCGCTGTCGAGTCGGTCGCATTGAGCCGCGCTGATGACAGGTCAGATCGGCGCCAATACTTACCGCACTGTTTCGTCCCACTTTTGGGTTGTTTGGCTTCCCATAGTGAACTCTGTTTTTTTCCGGTTCATGACAGTTAGGGTAGGTCTAAAAACTCCCATCTCATTTTCTCCTCCAACTTCAAAATCATCCTACATCGGTGTTTTACCTTTTTTTGTAAAGGGCGTTTGAACTTCTTTGCACGTTCACTTTGTAAACACTGGGTACTTCTGCAGCGATGTAGAACGATTTGGAAGTTGGAGGAGAAAATGAGATGGGAGTTTTTAGACCTACCCTAAGTGCACAGAGTACGCATGCGCATCGCAGAGCTAGACAAGACGAGCATTTGTGGTTAAAAGTGTATAAATTGTAATTTTGTTTTAGAAAATAACCGATTGTTTCGCTAGATAAGACCCTTATTCTTCGGCTGGGATCGTTTAGAGCCATTTGAAGCTGCATTTAAACTGCATTTTGGAAGTTCAAACTCAGGGACACCATAGAAGTCCATTATATGGAGAGAAATCCTGAAATGTTTTCCTCAAAAAACATAATTTCTTTACGACTGAAGAAAGAAAGACATGAACATTAAAAAATGTACCCTTATGACTGGTTTTGTGGTCCAGGGTCACATATATAAAAAACATTTCAACAAATACAGTTTTCTTTTTCACAAAACAAGATTTTTCAAATGATATAAACGTATCCGCTTTAATGCACTTATCAAAACAAAAGAAGTCACATGCCGAAAGTTTTGTTTTAAAGACAAAAAGAAGTATTCAAAATATATAATTTAATTTACAAACCGCAAAAGAAGTGGTAAAAAATTTGCAATTGCTTTATTTAACGACAAAGTTTATGAATTAATACTCTTTTTTTTCACAAAATCTGTATTCAGTGATAATTAAGTTTATGTGATTAAGTGATAATACAAGACATCTGCACCTATCAAATGATTTTGTGTGAAAGTGTGACAATGCTATAGCAAAAAAGCCACTATTTTTGGAATTAGCAGCACAAAACTAGTAGAATTTCGCTCAGCAAGTGTGATGCAGGACAGTGAATGCTAAATGGTGTACTTGAGCTGTGACACAGAAAGCTAAGCAGAGACCTCTAGTGTCAGCACCAGAGAACAACAAAAGCATCCTGATTTCCTTAGAAAGTTCCATTGAAATGACTCAGAAACGAGGAGAAGCATCAGTAACACACTGACCTGAGCTGCGTCTGCAGTTCGGTGAAGCGCGGCCGTTTGCTGGGGTCGTACGTCCAGCATTTGGTCATCAGGCTGTAGAGGGTCGGAGGGCAGTTCTGGGGCATCGCTAACCTCTCGCCGTTCTCTATCCGCCCGATCACGTCGTTATTCTTCACGCCCTGGAAGGGCTTGATGCCGAACATGAGGATTTCCCACATACACACACCTGAGAGGAGACAGACCCGGATCAGAAATCTGCCTCAGTCATCACAAATGAACAAAAAGAAAGAATACAACACAACAATTATTACAGAACAATATATTTAAAAAAATGGTAGGTCATATTACATTTAAGGGGAGAGACACTGCAGGCAAAAACACTTTTTTCATGCACCTGTCAATTTTTTGATTTTGGGCTTTTTGGCTTTTCATAAAGTGTTTTTTCAGACTAGTGGAAAGAAAACATCCAAAATACATGTGTCAATAGATTTCAATTTCAATACATATTTTTAAAGGCCGTTTTCTCGAAATGAGAAAATGTTTTTCTCCAACACTGCGCCATAAATCTCCACTTACACACACACACCAAACTTTACATTCTTATTCCTGTCTATATCCTGAAGGTTTTTGAAAATAGATTGTTTTCTGGCTGTTCAAAGAATTTTCTGAATTATGGAGTGACAAAAAGAGATACCCAGAATTCCCTCTGTAATAACATTTGACTCAAATATGTAAACAAAAAATTAAACAAGAATTTTTGAAACTAACTTCATCCAGTGTTCAGATTTTTGTACTGAAAATGTAAGCAAATTAGCGCATATTTCATTAAATAATGCTTCATTTGCATATTTAAACATAACATTTTAGAAAACTTGTAATATAATTTTTTTTTTGCAATTATCAATATAATCAATCAACTGGATAAGTAAGGATTAGTTAATTAGTTAATTTCTTTACCCTATTCACCTGCAGTGTCTCGCCTTAAAATACTGTATATTTAGGTCCATAGAAATATATTGCAATATTGCACACAAATTTGCAATATTTTGGTCAACATTGCTTAAGTCTGAGGAAGGTCGCTTGACCAAATCATTGAGAATTTTTTTAATTTGATTTCATTCATTTATTTTAGTGATCATGCAAGCTAAAGTTCTGTGCAGGATTAATATAATAATAATAAAAAAACACGAACTTCTGCGGAGAGTAATGTTCGCGCCGGCTGTTGTAACTGATCAGCGCCGCGCTGTCAGTTCGGTGGTGCTAGTAAACACGTCCTCTCTGCGCTGTCGAGTCGGTCGCATTGAGCCGCGCTGATGACAGGTCAGATCGGCGCCAATACTTACCGCACTGTTTCGTCCCACTTTTGGGTTGTTTGGCTTCCCATAGTGAACTCTGTTTTTTTCCGGTTCATGACAGTTAGGGTAGGTCTAAAAACTCCCATCTCATTTTCTCCTCCAACTTCAAAATCATCCTACATCGGTGTTTTACCTTTTTTTGTAAAGGGCGTTTGAACTTCTTTGCACGTTCACTTTGTAAACACTGGGTACTTCTGCAGCGATGTAGAACGATTTGGAAGTTGGAGGAGAAAATGAGATGGGAGTTTTTAGACCTACCCTAAGTGCACAGAGTACGCATGCGCATCGCAGAGCTAGACAAGACGAGCATTTGTGGTTAAAAGTGTATAAATTGTAATTTTGTTTTAGAAAATAACCGATTGTTTCGCTAGATAAGACCCTTATTCTTCGGCTGGGATCGTTTAGAGCCATTTGAAGCTGCATTTAAACTGCATTTTGGAAGTTCAAACTCAGGGACACCATAGAAGTCCATTATATGGAGAGAAATCCTGAAATGTTTTCCTCAAAAAACATAATTTCTTTACGACTGAAGAAAGAAAGACATGAACATCTTGGATGACAAGCGGGTGAGTACATTATCTGTCAATTTTTGTTCTGGAAGTGAACTAATCCTTTAAGGGAGCATGTTGATGGTGTTCAGGAAAAATCAAACTGTTAGAATGCAGTACCATGAAATATTCATCTTCCAATTTCTAAAAAACGTTAAGCACTCACCGAACATCCAGACGTCGCTGGCCGAAGTAAACCGACGGAAGTTTATGGATTCAGGAGCCATCCATTTGATTGGCAGTTTCCCTTTAGAAGCTGGAAAACACACACTACTGTTCACACACTATAAACACTCAAACATGCCTTCACTATCCACCAGAGGCTGCTATATCCTTACTATGGTAACATTTCTGAGGGAGAACTGTTTGCATGTATCAGAACTTTTTCCAGAAGCTTTAATCCTTTTTCAGCCTCTAAAATGCACAGCAACTACAGGAAGTGTTTTAATGAAAACTTACATGACTTCCTGTGGACATACACAAGTAAATCACGTTGTATTGTGTTTAAAGGGGTCCTATTATGCTTTTTCACTTTTTCAACTTTAGTTAGTCTGTAATGTTGCTGTTTGAGCATAAAAAAGATCTGCAAAGTTACAAAGCTCAAAGTCCAATTCAAAAGGAGATATTTTATTTAACAGAAATCACTTTTCAAAAACTACAACGAACGACTCGTTTGGACTACAACGCAATTTTCCGGGATTTGTGATATCACAAATATTGACGAATGAGACGTGACCTGGTTGAGCTGCACTAGAGAAGGCAACGAGTGTTATCACTAGGCCTGTCACGATAACAGCTTTTTGTTGTGCGATATATTGCCCCAGAAATAATTGCGATAAGCGATATTATTGGCATTATAAAGACCATTTTATGCCACTGAATATATAATAATAATGTAACAGCATAATAATGCAAGAAGGCCCACACACTTTCAAATGACAACAAACTTTACCTTTTTAAGAATATTTAGATCATGGAAATTAAGTATCAAAATATTAGATACCTTAAAAAGCCACCAAAGACAGATTCACAAATAACCTGCCTGATTTATCTCAACTGCTCTGTGTACCCATAACTACACATGAACTAGACAAAATGACTAATGACATGGGCACTATCTTCTCTAATACATTAGAAGCTGTTGCCCCCATCAAATTGAAAAAGGTTAGAGAAAAACGTACTGCGCCATGGTACAACAGTAATACCCATTCTCTCAAGAAAAAAACTCGTAGTCTTGAGCACAAATAGAGAAAAACTAACTTGGAAGTTTTTAGAATTGCGTGGAAAAACAGTATGTCCAGCTATAGACAGGCTCTAAAAGCTGCCAGGGCCGAGCATATCCACAAACTCATAGAAAATAACCAAAACAATCCTAGGTTTTTATTTAGCACAGTGGCTAGATTAACAAATAACCAGACGCCACCCGATCGAAATATTCCCGCACAGTTTAATAGTAATGACTTTATGAATTTCTTCACTGATAAAATAGATAACATCAGAAATACAATAACAAATGTAGATTCTACAGCGTATAATACTTCAGCTTCATTCATCGCACCAAAAGATAAACTGCAGTGCTTTACAACTATAGGACAAGAAGAGGTAAATAAACTTATCACTGCATCTAAACCAACAACATGCCTGTTAGATCCTGTACCCACTAAATTACTGAAAGAGTTGTTACCTGTAGCAGAAGAACCGCTTCTCAATATTATTAACTCGTCGTTGTCTTTAGGTCACGTCCCAAAAACATTCAAGCTGGCGGTCATTAAGCCTCTTATTAAGAAACCACAACTAGATCCTAGTGAACTGGCAAATTACAGACCCATCTCAAATCTTCCTTTTATGTCTAAAATTTTAGAAAAAGTTGTGTCTGCTCAATTGTGCTCCTTCCTGCAAAAAAATGATCTCTATGAAGAATTTCAGTCAGGTTTCAGGCCCCACCATAGCACAGAAACTGCACTTGTTAAAATTACAAATGACATACTTCTTGCGTCAGACCAAGGCTGCATCTCATTGCTAGTTTTACTTGATCTTAGTGCTGCATTCGATACTATAGATCATGACATACTCATAGATCGATTACAAAACTATACAGGTATCCAAGGGCAGGCTTTAAGATGGTTTAGATCCTACCTGTCCGATCGCTACCACATTGTTCATTTAAATGGGGAGTCATCTCAATTATCACCAGTAAAACATGGAGTGCCACAAGGATCTGTCCTAGGTCCTCTGCTATTTTCGATATACATGTTGCCACTTGGTAATATTATTAGGAAATACGGGATTAGTTTCCACTGTTATGCCGATGATACTCAACTATATATCTCAACAAGACCAGATGAAACTTCTAAATTATCTAAGCTAACGGAGTGTGTTAAAAATGTAAAAGAATGGATGACCAATAATTTTCTCCTACAAAGTTCACTAAAGGAGGTAGAGCTTTTTCGCATTTGGCTCCCAATCTCTGGAATAGCCTTCCTGATAATTTCAGACACTCAGACACACTCTCTTTGTTTAAAACTAGATCTCTTTGGCCAAGCATTCAAATAATGCATCTCATAATTTAGTTATATCTCTGTGAGGAGCACAGAGCGAGGAACGAGGAGATGTGGAGTAGACTTCAAACAAACAGACTTTAACATCAATGGAACCAGGAACACACACGTAGCGGGGCCGTGGTAACTAGGATTTACACAAGCTTCAGTCTGGATCCAGAACACCTGAGAAGAGATGATGCAACCCCTCAGAGGACCTCAGATGATGCCAACCCTGAAACAACATACAGAACTACCACATTTTGCTATAAGTTTGATTGCATCATATAATAATTGCTGTTAATAGTGTTCATCGTCTGTTTGATTACGTCTTTAATTGATTTTTCCGTACATTTCTGCCATATGTACATTAACTGACAGTCTCCACTGATAAGCTACCACTAAATATTGTAGAAACTTAATTTGCTGTAAAGTTGCTTTGCAATGATTTGTATTGTGAAAAGCGCTGTACAAATAAACTTGAATTGAAAAACTTGAATTAAAAAACCTGAATAAATGGTAAATAAATATTTTCTAACAAAAAGTGCAAAGTAACAAGTAGAAAAAAAGAAAAAGGCACAAAGAACTTGTATGGAGATTTTTTCATCTACAGATTTTTCCCTGACTTGAAATGAAGGGTGCACACTATTTCTGAAAAACACCATCACTACTTAGCAGTCAGATGTCCGTATGCACAAAGGCACAGATCCCTAAACAAGGCCCTATCTGCAGATTAAACTTTTTTGTAGAAGCATTTTTTAAATTTGAACTAGCACCTCATGACTACACCACGCTATGTACGAGAAGCTGCAAAAGACACAGGCGCAAGTGGAATGTACAAAATATGGTGACATTATTTTTTAAATAAATATAATGGGCGATATATTGCGTCACCAAAAATTATTGAGGTCATGTACATATATTGCGCGATAAGTCGATATATTGATTATTGCGACAGGCCTAGTTATCACTATATCGGAGACACACTAGCTTTCCCAAGGCAGACGAACTTAGAGTGGTTACAATCATCCGGGTTTAAATCGCGCTCAAATTGATTTGATTTTGACTCAATATTTACACTGAAGCTCGCAGGTGGCTATGGTAAGGGGAATGACATTTTCCGACCAGCCACAGAGTGCTGCCAATCACAACACACACTGGCCCAGCTAACCAATCACAGCACACACTGGCCCAGCTAACCAATCACAGCACACACTGGCCCAGCTAACCAATCACAGCACACACTGGCCCAGCTAACCAATCACAGCAC